AGAGATGAAAAGAAAAACGTTAAATTATCCTCTATTTTTACGATTTATTGTTGTGAAGATCATTTTGATGTAAGTTCATATATTTATGTATATTGTCTTACATAGGTATATGAAATTTGAATGTGTACAGGGTTATTCATTATATTTTGACACCCACATACAGCCTTAACTGCAAGTTTTAGAAGAAAACATTAAATAAAAAAGTTGCATGGTTTTTCATATACTCTCTTTTAAAATTAATTGTAGATATACAGGGTGTCTTAAAAAAGGTGGTCCAGAAAATTGTAGGTATTTTTCGCTTTTCAACTGTCAATATTTCGTAAACATTTGAAGATAGGTATAGGATGTTATACTAATTATCTAGAATATCTAGAAAAATATCTAGAATATCTAGAAATTTCCGAAGAATCCAAAAATATATAGGGTTTTTCACTTAAAAAGTAACTTAATTTTGGCGTTTGCTTATGGGACACCTTGTATAATATTTTCATTACTGATAAACAATTTATTTCCTATAATTTCTTAAAAAAAACAATCTTTAAAAATAACAAAGGTAAGGGGGTGCCAATATATAAAAAAAAACTTTCTTTTTCACGCTATGCTTTGGAGTTACTTTTCCACGTACGAAACAAATATTTTTGTCTCTTTTCACTTCTACATAACCTACAGCATTATCTCCATACGTCTCCCTACGTGATCTGAAAAATGTTTATAACATTAATATTTATAACTATATAAAAGTTCGTAACAGTATAGGTACCTACTTATACTTAAATATGCCTCAGTACTACAAAGAATAAATGTTACATACCTCTCTGTTTTTTTCCTCGTAATTCAGCACCAATAAATTGGGAATTTGTATTTATAAAAGCAGCCAACATAAAAGCATCGACTTTTGGCAAGTTATCTGATTGTGCTTTTACAAAACCGGAATCTGCCATTACTTAAAAAATTCTCAGAACACACAACACATACAAATAATAACTGCACAAAAAAACATAAAAAGCTCCTTCAATCAAAAACGCTAAAAGCAACAAAAATGTCTTAGTACGCCACCTAAATACGTACGTAAACGGAACACGTCTGGCTGCTGCTGGCCATCGCGCGTCGACGAGAACGGCGGGTGACGTCAGACCAATAGAATATCGTTTCAATTCGCGAGGCGTCGTTTTCGTTGTCCATAGTATTTTAATGGCCCGTTTTATAAAATTGTGGTACTGCTTTCAAGAAAAAGTTTTTTTTTGCATTTACACATATTTATTTATTCTAATAAATTGAACAGTTTCTGGCGAAAAATAAAATATATGCATCTTCCTCATTGTGGCAATTAAAAATTGTCACAAAAAATACTGCCACAATAAATTAAAAATTGGCACAACACACTTTTGGGCTTTAAATAATTTTGTTATATTTTTTCAAAAAAAATATTTTTCAATATCCATAACTTTTTTGTGGCCTTTTTTGCTAAAAAAGCGTTTTATATGCTCTAAAGTAACGCAAGTATATAGTTAAAAAGAAATAGAAAATACTTATTTTAATTTTAACGCAAACATCTACCTCATTATTAAAGAAAAATTAGTTTGTAGTTGAATTGTCCTAATCTGTATTTTTTTAGTGATACGTAAGAATCTTTTTTGTTCTCTAGTTTTTATATTTTCGTTTTTTGTGTCTCAGGGCATGATCTATTTATAGAAATCAATAGTAGAGATTGTATTATATTTTTTTCGGTTTGATATTTTTCTGAAAAAAAAACTCAAAAATTTTAATTAATATTGGTTAGTATATTTCAGCAATAATTTTTAATAATAAAATGTTAAATATATAGAATATACTCTACTAAATGTTTTCTAAAAAAATCTATATATTGTACTTTTGTTAAGACTAAAATTCGATTTAAAATTTTTGAGTTTTTTTTAACTAAAATAAAGAAAAAATAAAACGAATCTCTATGATTACCTAAAAGTCTGATTAGTTGAGGCTGCTCTACTGTACGTGTTGTAGCCACAGACATATTTTTTTTTAATTTTTATTATTAGTTTAAAACAAAATGTCGCAACTAATTTTTTTAACGTTGTATGTTTTTGATGTTGCTACAGAAAGAGGGTTTGCTATTATCAATGCACTTGAAAAATTTACTTTTCAAAATGACGAATTTTTTACAAAATTATGTGCAATATCTTTGATTTTTTCGTTTTGTTTAGCGAACTAAATAAAAATATCTGTTTCTAGCAGACCCTAAACATAGTTTTTACACAGTTATTACTGTTGTGTCCGATGCTATTTCTCTGTGGGCTATTTCTTTAAATTATAACATATTTGATGATATATATCACAAAAAAAGGGATAATCAAAATTATGTTATAAGAAAAATTTCAAGAAATACATTTTATCAAAAATAGCAAATGAGTGATACTTTGTACATAAAAATGATTTAAAAAATGTTATAGAATGTAAAAACGGCAGCTTTGCTTTAATTATTTAATAAGTTTATAGAATTCTCTTGTATATTTTGTTTGAAGAAAAGCTTAAATTTGTTTTAAAGACCTGTAACAATGCAAGGCTGTTGTTTGGTCATCTTGGTTTGTCCCACAGCGGAAATACTTCTTGTACTTTACTGTTTGTTGTGAATTTTAAAATTGTATAAATATTTAAATTACTGTGTAAACATGTTATATTTTTGTACGCTTGGACGAATGCATCAATAAATATTACGAAGATATTGCTTGTTTTATTTTTCTCTACAGAATAGTAAAATAATTATAAAGCCTCCATCTACACCTAACGTTTTACCTGTCAGTTTTGCGTGCGGTGTTGCCATTAACAAAATTAAGACATGACAGCTAAGTCTGGCATGGTGTCAAAATCGGGCTCACTGGAATCAGGAGTGGAATAGGGTTGTATTCAGTGATGAGTCACGTTGTTGTTTGTGGGTTCACGATTAGAGGTGTGTAGTTCGTGAACGAACTAGTTCCAATGAACTATTCCCACCCCGGAATGAAAGAAACTAGTTCCCGGTATCTCAAAGAACTAGTTCCTTAGGACCTATTCCGGGGATCGAGACTGTGACCGATATATAATATGCGATGGTGCCCTATCGGCCAGCGCGATCGTAGCCCGATGCTAGGCAAGAGTGGGGAGTGCTAGCCGTATGTTATCTTATCGGTCCCGGACCGAATGGAACTAGAGGAACTAAATAAAAGACTAGTTTACGTACGGATCGGCCAGCGCGATCGTAGACCGTTGCAAGTCGGGAGTGGAGAGTACCAGCCGTATGTTACCGGTCCTGGACCGAAAGGACTGAGAGGAACTAATTAAAAGACTAGTTCACGGGAATCTATTCAGTCCGCAGATCCGAGCTAGAATACAAGGCAACGACGACGCGACGGATTCTGCCTTGTCTATTACCGCGGCCGGCGTAATTACCACAGAAAATTGTCATGGACACTGTTTTTCATTTTTAGTTTGTTCTTAGAATATTTTATGGGAATGTTTCACTTTAGGTCCTTAAAATTAAGAAATATCTAATAAAAAGAAGTAGATATTCTGAATTTTTAGGCAAAAACAAAAAGCTGGAAGTGAGTATAAATGCAATTTTTCGTAACATAAGAGAGGAAATTTTATCTTCATATTTATCATTTAGCTTCACCTACACATGTGCCAATATTAAGTATTTTATTATTTGCTTCAATTGATTTGTGATATAGTTTTTAAACTTTGATTTGAGGTTCTCTTTTAAGTTTTTGTTTTTATCTGCAATAAAACTTACCTATATATTTTTAACACACGCAATTACACTTATCGTTATATTTCGTACATTATAAAAATTATACAGATCATACTATGAATAGTTCTTAGACTAGCAATTATAGTTCTTAGATCATGAGCAAGCAAGGGGGATGTCAATGTTAGTCGGGAACTAATGTGAACTAAAGACCTAGTTCAAGGAACTATTCCTATGGAGGAACTAGAACTAAGGAACTAGTTCCTCCCAAGAAACTAGAATTCCTAAGAGTCCACCGCAGTATGTCGATCGCATTGAAATAATATTAAAATCGTGTCCAAAAAAATTTGTCATAATATTTAGGTATAATAATTGATTTTTTACTAGTGCAGTTATTGAAACTATAAAACACTCAGATACGAGGTTTGTGTGATGTAACGCTGTTACGGGTAGTAAAAAAAAGTAAAAAAGAACCCGAATTTAAAATTTTAACAGAATTGTCGAGAAAATGTTAACGCTTAAAAAAGAGCGTAATTAGGGCGTTGTGGGGTACAATAACATTCATTAACTCAACTTTCCCGGATATTAAATTCTCCCGAAACAACATTTTATAGCTTCACAGTTTCCCACACCGATATGATCAAAAGCAAAACTGGATTCCAGCAGTTCGACGAAACAAGTGAGTAAACAAAGTGCTCACTACATAATGAAAAAATTAAATAGGCCTATAATATGAGAAGATAAAATATAATTTGTAATATTAATGGTATACTTTTTTTATTCAACTAGTGATTAAATGTTTTATGAACATCTTCTAAAATTATAATCATGTACCTTTAAAAAATGTCATTATAGCCGAAATAGCCCCAATTATGACCCCAGTAGCAAATCCGGTGCGTAAAACTATGCTCGCTACCGTAGTTGAACTCATCTAAAAAGTTTTTTTAGCTGGAATAATAAATTATAATACAAGTTAGACCTTCTGAAGATGTCAAAATATTTACCTTTTTATTTTTTTGTTTGGAATTTCGACATATTATACTTTCTAACATTTTTAGAATAATTATATACAATTTTTTTCGTTTACTCGCCATTCAAACCCGTGTATTTGGATGTATTCGTTATTTACGATATTCTCCGGCGGTGGCAGCACCGGCGGAGACCAAGCCTATATATTTTATTAATGTACGGAAAAATGCTATTGTCACATTTTGTCACAAATTTATTATCTGAAGATTTTATTTATAGTTAACAATGACTAATAATATACTATATGAGATCATTTAAAACACGTTTAGTTAAAATATTTAACATAATTAATACAAAACAACTAAATTAACGAAAAAATAAATAGAGTTAACGAGAAGTGTGAGTTAATGCTGCACAAATAATTGCAATAAATAAATTCAATTAATTCTCTATAAAATATGATTTAAAATTTCTAAACAATTACAAAATATTTATACTTTAAACAATTAATAATATAATATCTAATAGATAATAAGATTTAACATTACCATTTAGGACATCTTGGTTTCCGGTTGGGGCGTGAAATTGTCTCCAACGATAGTTATCTCGTTCTGGACATTTCCCGTGTCCAAATCTGCGAAAAATATGTCCGGGGAAAAGTCCACGTCAGTTTTAATGGTGGCTTTGTGGTGCATCTCACCGCTCAGAGGTATTATGTTGATAGGTTGGGATAGGGAGATTTCATTACCGCTTTTGGTAACCAATGAGCACAAGCCGTCCTATGTAGAATAAGATTGATCATTATGCCGGGTCCAGACCAAGCAGACAAAACAACAAGACAGAATCATTCATGTTTTATGACAAAATTGCGACAAATCCAATACATTTCTGCGACATTTTTGTCTAATTTTTGTTTTGTTTCAAAACTCGGAGACTTTTCAATGTGCCGTCTCGTGTCGGTAGAGATCAAAGTGTCTATGTTTTGTTCGTATATTTTACGACAAGTTGTCGGCGCAGTGTGGATGGCGTGTGCGGCCAACAGTAGGAGACCAGTGAAATCACACATGGTTAATCAAACTCATTCGCAACAACTAAACTTTTGACTTTGTTGTACCGGGTGGCCAACTAAAAATGGACGCCAGCTGTATCTCATAAACTACTTGTCGTGTAACCTTGGGAAAAATATTCTAATGAGTAAATCGACCAAGAGAAATCGCTGGAAATTATTTTCAAGTTCGAAAAATGCCCGCTAGGGGGCGTTTCTCTAAGAGCAAATCAGAAAACAGGGTTTTTCTTAAAAATATGCAGGTGAACAGGTATTTTAAATATTACTATTCTAATCATCGAGAAATTTGTATTTTTTTTCATATAAAGTATTTTGCTCTATACTCTGTTTTTTTTCTCAGGTAAGATTTCGACAGACGATGACAGAAGAAAAACAGATGACGTCCCATACCAATCTATTTATTTTACTAAAAAAAGTTTCTAATAATTTTTAAGTTATCTATGGATGGGTTTAAATATAAATCCGTCATACGTCGTGTCTTGTTGTTTTTAACCAGTTTTATTGGTTTATTTAAAAAATGACAGATCGTATTTCAATTTTATTGGTTTGACGGAACGATGAACGACAAACGGACGCCGATGCGTATGAACTCGCCTTTAGATTTTTGTCATTTTTTGACGCTTGTCAAAGCCTTGCCAAATTGTAGGTTATAATTTTGTGTCAACTTTTGTTAAATACCCTGCGTTTTGGAAGATGATGCATTTTGATTCGTATTAATACGTGTGTTTTGTGTCTTTTGAAGTTAAGTGGAGGAAAAATCGAGTGAAAATTAACTGTAGACCCAGAGCACAGTTTATGGTTAATACTTGCTGTCCAGGCAGAAAGTCTTATACACCAATGAAGTTGCCATCGATAAAGTTTGTATACCATTTCGTCGTAGATAAGTGCATCTCGTATATGGTAGAAGGATCAAACTAAACACATACTAAAAACTGGAGTAGCTGTAAAATATCGACATCACACGATAGGTAAATAATTAGTAGTGGGAACTATCGAATGAATACTATCGAAACATTCGATAGTTGCAATTCATTCGAATAATTCGATAGTTAGTAAGAAAACATTCGTTGAAAACTATTCGAATAAAAATTATCGAATAGATCCGTCATCTGCCTTGAAATATTGTATTCTAGTAATTAGGCAGCAAAAACCATTCATTTATAAAATTCATTCATTTATAAAATTCATTCATTTATAAAATTCATTCATTTATAAAATTCATTCATTTATGAAATTCATTTATTCGTCAGGATCGATTATAATAAAATATTAACTGAATTTTAGTTGTCGCCCGGCGACGTAGGTTTTTTTTTCCGGAGAAAGCGGTCGGTGGCAATGCTATGAAAGAAGCCGGCATCTTTGATTTTGCGGAGTCATATATAGATAAGGACACATTATTTTTTTATCGAGGTGCTAGTATTTACACAGAAAATACATTATGAAGGGCGCTGTTGCCATATTTTTGTATTAGTTGATATTAGCAAAGAATATTATTGTTTGGCTTTAGTTAGTTAGGGATAGTATGTCTATATATTCTGCATTTTTTATTAATATTCTGTTGTTACACTGCAATAATACTTGTTATTTTGGATGTAGGAAACTTATTTTTAATGTTTTTAAGCAAAGACTGGTTTAATAAATAATAATAACAGTAATAATTTGTGATACCTATTAACAACAAACTTTAAAATCATTTAATATAAATATTTTTTTAAGTAGTAGCAAAATATAAACAAGTTAGATGTCAAAATTATTTATATTAGATCCTATTTAAAAATAATATAGTCTCTAATTTTTTTGGCAACGTTGGTTTATTAAATAATAATAATTACAGAACTAATTTGTTATATTAACAACAAATTTTAAAATCCTGAAATATAAACATTTATTAATTTTCTAAGCAAGCGGTGTAATGGAAGGAAAATATAAATAAAAAATTAGAAATCAAAATTATTTATATTAGGTGCTTTATATTACTTTTTATATACTATTTAAAAATTATATTTACTTTTACTGGCATTTACTTTAAAAAATAAATGAAATATTTCTTCGCAAAAAACTACATGTTAGAGAATTAGCATAAACAAAATACAAACATCGTTAACTTTTTTTTTAAATTGGCACGTGTAAAACTTTCATTTTAATTTTCTCACCCCATAGTTTGAGTTCGATAACCCCCCATTTACTTAACCACATTACTTAAATATGATTATTAAGTTCCAACTAATTCATATTATTAAAACATCTAAAATGCAAATATGTATTTTTAAAATTAATTGTAAGTTCATCTCATCCCTCTTAAAAATTGCTACTTCTCAAAATTTCCCATTAAAAAATAGACCATATACCATATAAAATTAAATAACTGAAAGATCGGACTACGGAAAACAACACAAATTTTCGGAAAAATTTTGACCACCTGCACATGCACACAATCGTCAATAAATAAAATTAAAAAATAACTACTATTTTAGTATTTTAACTATTTTAATAAATGCAAAAATAGCACAGTATTTATACGGCGAAGTTATAAAAATTTGGAAGAACTAATAATGCACTGGCGCATACAAAAATCAAACGAATACTAAATTTCATTTATCAAAAGCATTCGATAGTCGTGGCGCAACGATAACCATTTGGTCGCACGGCGAGGTTGTCACATATGCTTTAGTTTACAAATGAATGAATGATTTTATTCGAATAAAACCATTCGATAGTTGAAATCATTCATTCATTAACCATTCGATAGTCTAATTCATTCGATAGTTCCCATCGCTATAAATAATGGATTTTAGTAGTGCAGAAAAATAATGTCAAAAGGTACTGGTTTAAAAAAATTAAGATAAGTAATAATTAATAAGTTAATTAATCAACTTTTAAGGTATAAAATTTGGTAGTTGTTATTATTAATAAAATAGTTTGTTTTATTTACCTATGTTGTTTTATTTATTCCTGTGGAATATTACAAATTTGTATTTGTACATAAGTTATATTGATAAATATAATCATAAATGCGGGTAGTTTCATAAAGCTTGAAAGTAAATAATGGTTCTTTTTTATGTTTTTTGGTATGTAGTGTCTTGTTCTTTTTTGTTTTGTATTAACACATACCGTTTTTTAAATAAAATAACTCAATTACATTTTTTCAGTTTTATACAGTTTTTTTCACAATATTTTGAAGTAATCACTTGTCATCTTGTCAATCAAATTTTAAATATATCCTGCTATGCGTTCCAGTTGTACCAACTTATTTCTTTGTAAAATAAAATAACTACTTTGAAATTAAAATGACAGACACATCTATCAATGTCAAGGATCTTCTCGTTGGACAGACTATATTTCATAAAATAAAGTAGTGGGGGAAGGTTTAACTTACTTTTATTAAAATAAGGATAACTCTGGTTTAGGTTACGCGATTTAAACGAACTAGGGCTCGTTTAAAAGAGCTTTTCTTGCTTAATAATCTACAGTATAAATTTTGTTTCCACAATTTTTTTCGTGGTAGCTAGAGGGCGCTGTTTGACATCATAATAGATATTGCGCTTTTGCGTAAAACATTTAAATAGGAGGCTATACTTCTCTTTGCACAGTTAAATAGAGCACAAATTTTCCAAAATATCAGCGCAAACTGCAACTTTCTATCTTCTCTCCAACCGGAGTTATTAAGAGAACAAATCATGTTAGACTGCCGCTTACCATTATTTACTCTAAAAATTACAGTAGTAGGCTAGGAAACAAAAAGAAGTAAATTGTTTACGTCAAAATATCAAAACGTTTAAGTTCAGATTTCATGCATCCGAATTTCGGGCGCTTTCTTAAAAAAAAAATGTTATAATTATTTAAACGTGTTTATGTAACATTATCATCCATCCATTTAATTTTTACGAATTTCTTGGTTAATTATACGTAACTAGTTCTCAGATTAAAATGTCCGAAAGTCGGACGATCATTAATTTTTATTAAAATATCTAGGAATTTTGTGCCGCCATATTGCTTTTAACAGAAAAAGGTCGAATTTCGTATTGTCGAAAACTGGGGGTTTATTTCATGTAACGCCATTTAGTTATTAATCCAAGTTCGTCCTTGATTTCGCTTGTTTTCGTGTTTTATCTGTTATTTGTGTTATTTATTATTATATTATAAAGTTTGTGTCGTTTGGGTTACTTTTCATATAGCACCGAACGAAGGTGCGAATCTTAACAATATGCACTACTGGTCCAAATCTACCGTTGATGCAAGTAGTTTAGCACCAAGACCGTTGGTCTGTAAATGTTTAGGTTGTGAAGGAATTCTAGGATGGCGAATGATTGGACTTTTTTAATTATCTGAATGAAATGAACTATCCATAATTTCTAAGAAATGAATTGCCAATTTTGTTAGAGGGTTCATAATAATGAAATTGCATTTGTTGCAATTTCATCAGCATGAATGCAGTTGGTGTAGTTCAGGCAGTGGTGCCGCTTATTTAGCTATGAATGTGTGGAGCTTCTTGGATACCACTTACTTTAGTAGATAGAGACGTTGGAGCGGCATATTTCCATGGCCAGCTGGATCATCGGTTCAATATGTCTGGGTTTTCATTTATGGGGTCGAATCAAGAACGAACATGGGTAAATAATAATTAAAAGGTAGTAAAATGAAATTAAAATATATGTTTTGATATTTTGACGTAACCAATTTACCTCTTTTTGTCTCCTAGCCTTCTACTATAATTTTTAGGCTATATAATCCTAAGCGGGAGCCTAACATGATTTGTTCTCTTAATATCTTCGGTTAGAGAGAAGATAGAACGTTGCGGTTTGCGCTGATATTTTGGAAATTTTGTGCTCTATTTAACGTAGCATAGAGAAATATAGCCTCCTATTTATTTTTTTTACGCAAATGCGCAATATCTGTTATGATGTCAAACAGCGTCCTCTAGCTACCACGAAAAAAATTGTGGAAACAAAATTTATACTGTAGATCATTAAGGAAGAAAAGCTCTGTTAAACGAGCTCTAGTTTGTTTAAATCGCATAACCCAAACCATAGTTATCCTTATTTTAATAAAAAGCAAATTTAACCTTCCTAAATACTCTATATCAAAAAAATTACAAATTTCTCGATGATTACAATAGTACATACAATAGTTAAAATATCTGTTCACCTGCATATTTTTTAAGAAAACCCTGGTTTCTGATTGGCTATTAGAGAAACGCGCCCCAGCGGGCATTTTTTGAACATGTAAATAATTTCCAGCGATTTCTCTTGGTCGATTTACTTATTAGAATTTTTTTCCCAAAGTTATACGATAAGTAATTTCAGAGATACAGCCGGCGTCCATTCTTAGTTGGCCACCCGGTACTTTTGTCCTTGCGGTGTGGACAATTTGTCGCAAGTTTGTCTTGTTTTTGTCTCAAAATCGTGTTTACTTTTTGTCGCTTTGGTCTGGACCCGGACTTACAAACAAATCCTTAAGAGATATAAATTAAAAATGTGTTTTGTTGTTGGTGTATGGACCAGGCATTTGGAGGATTATAATGAGCAGATTGTGAAAACTGGACTTGATGGACAATAAGAAACTGATAAAGAGAGATGTAGAGAGCTTCTAAAGAGTGATGGTGACAACATAGTGAGGTAACAAAAAAAATATTACATCTTTAAATTATTTGAAGGCGTTCTCCTGCCCGTGTCACAATGTGTGAAGTTACATACCTTAACGTTTAAAGCGCTTTGAGTGTCTTTCAAGAAATCGCCTACCTCAACGCTGGGCTTGGTTATGTCGATGATATCCTCGTTCGAACTCAGATTTTCCGGTACGTTGTTGATCAGTTTGTCTAAAACTCGCAGTTCTTGTAACTCGCTGACTCGTCCATCTTCGTCCACCACTTGGTACTGAATGCCTGAACAATTATTGGTTATTAGAGGAAATAAATAAATAAATAAGGTCTGTAAGGAATATCACCCCTTAAAGATTTTTTCGCATTTGTCGTGAAAATACCTGTATATAAGCATGAGCAGACTAAGGACTGGCAAAGGTTAGTCTTGGGTCGAGATTTCCGTATGTAAGAAGAGTACAATGCGTTTATATAATGTACTGAACAAAGAGGGAAGAGTAAACACGTTGCCAAACATGAAATAAACCGAGAAACTGTGCACATTGCTAAGAGACGTGGAAGGGGATATAGCAGATTTGTCGCAGTCGACCGGTTGATCCCCCAATCAGTACCTCTGTCAATACTTAAAGTTCTAGGGAAAGGTGTACATTAGAGGTGTGTAGTTCGTGAACGAACTAATTCCAATTAACTATTCCGACCCCGGAATGAAAAGAACTAGTTCCTCAGGATCTATTCCGGGATCGAGACTGTTACCGATATATAATAATATTCGACGGCGACGGAACAGCCAGCGCGCGTAGCCTGATGGTAGGTAGGAGTGGGGAGTGCCAGTCGCAGGTTATCGGACCCGGACCTAGAGGAACTAAATAAGACTAGTTTACGTCAGAGATACAGACTTAAGGTTTACGTTATATACGTATTATTTACAAATATACTCAGGGTTCCCTATTTAACCCCGTGTGCAATTTCTGTGCCGTAAGAAAAAGACAACATAACCCAGCTCCATATTAAAACTGCATAAGTCTATTTCACCCGGATATGGATTGAACTGCGATTGCGCCAAACTCCGATTGATTGTTGTTTTAGTTCTGTTTGGATTACTTTTTATTTGTGCGCGTAAAAGAGTGATTTTGTTTAGTTTATTCTTTCCAACTATTTTTTGATATTTTTCCAACTCCATGATAATGTGTTATAAATAATAAAAATATAAATAAAATTGAAGGTTAGGTGAAATGTCAGTCAACCACTTCCCTTTAAAAACATCGACCAATGAAAACTTCTTCAGGTGAGGCATGCTCAGTTAAATGAATATCCGGGTGAAATAGACTTATGCAGAATTCCATATTGTTCTTTCACTGTTTGGGCTTCACTTTTTGGAGATTAGGCTGAGTATATTTGTAAAAAGTAATACGTATATGGTTTACGTACGTACGGATCGGGCCAGCGCGATCGATGCTAGGCAGGAGTGGGGAGTGCCAGCCTTATGCCGTATGTTATCGGATCCGGACCTAAAGGAACTAGAGCATAGAACTAGAGGAACTCAATAAAAGACTAGTTTACGTATGGATCAGCCAGCGCCCAGCGCGATTGATGTTAGGCAGGCGTGGGGAGTGCCAGCCGTATGTTATCGGATCCGGACATAGAGGAACTAATTAAAAGACTAGTTCACGGGAATCTATTCATTCGGCAGATCCGAGATATAATACAAGGCGACGACGATGGATTCGGCCTTGTCTATTGCCACAGCCGGCGTAATTACCACAGAAAATTATCGTGGATACTGTTTTTGATTTTTAGTTTGTTTTTTAAATATTTTATGGGAATGTTTCACTTTAGGCCCCTAAAATTAAGAAATATCTTATATTTAACACGTCTCGTTATATCTCCCGTACATTATAAAAATTATACAGATCATACTGTGAATAGTTCTAACTGACAACGAAACGCATTAGCAAGCAAGGGGGATGTCAATGTTAGTCGGGAACTATTGTGAACTAAAGACCTAGTTCAAGGAACTATTCCTCTGGAGGAACTAGAAGTAAGGAACTAGTTCCTCCCAAGGAACTAGAATTCCCACCTCTAGTGTACATCATGCGTTCAGCTTCACGATTTAATTACGTCTCGTGATACTTTATTTGTTTATTTATTAACGAGTCGTTGTAATTTTCTCTATAGCTTGAAAATTTTTAAGTGCAAGTTTGAATCACTTGCATTTTTGGTAAAAATAAGTGGAATGGAGTTGGTATTCGACAGTGGTCGCGCTATTAGAACTCTGAATTCAAAAATCGATATCTCGAAATCTATTAGAAATAACTGATTGTAGTTTTTCAAAAACTTTCTTCGCAGACAATATGCAAAAATCTTTATAAATAAAAAAGTTACACGATTGCTGAAAACTGCTATGCACTAAAAGTAAATGGACGGGTTGTTTAAATTTTAGAATGGAAAAAACAACCTTATCGAAAAAAAGCTTCAATATCTAAAGTTGTTCTTAAGTTATGACGTGTAATGCGTAAAAAAGTTAAGTTTTTAAATTATCGCGATTACTGACGTTTTCTCGTTATAAAAAAATGAACACCCTAACGATATATCCTGATAATTCCATTTCAGATGCTCAGAAACATATCTAATGATTTTATCTAGTTACCTTTTCGAAAAAAAAGTCTTAAAAATAAGCCGTTTGCGATCGTGATTTTACATTACTTGATAGGAAAAGGAGTACCGACAACGCCGCAACAGCACACCGTCGCATTTCTCTCACTCCGACTTAATAAGATCCCTATGCGATTTACTTCCACACATGTAAATACCGATCCAAAAGTAACAGTTGCCAGCACGGTATAGTCTGCCCAACGAGACAGAGAATATTTCGACAGATGACATCCAATATAAACGACGGAAAATAAAATCACGGACAACTGGCACTGTTAAATAATACAGAAACACACAAATATAACCACTTTAGACAAAGAGTAATAAATTCCTAATCTTTGCTTTAGGCGGGTATTACACTATAAAATTTCTTTGTCAAAGATTTTATTTTGTCAAAGAAATATTTGATAAAATTAAATCGAATTAAAGAAATTTGATAGTGTAATAGCACAAATTACCTATAACAGATGCGAAAGAAAGCGACTGCATCGGAAACCGCTCGGCAAACTCCACACGCCTATTGAGTGGTGTAAATACACCAGTCGTTTAGTCCGGAAACCTATGCTGTGTCGTATTCGCTTGCTGGAATGACATAGTGCGTGGTTATATGTTTCTTTTTAAAAACGGGTGTAGGATTTTGTTGAACTTTTGAACTGTTATTTCTAAGTTTTGGTAATTTGTATATCTTATTTAAAATGGGATACAAATGTGTTTATTTATAAGGAAAAAAAAAAAGATATTTATAGTATAAAATTAATTTATTTAACAAAATTTAATTAAAAATGTGACAAAATAGTACCTTTCTATTGGTTCTATCGGACTTTTTTCGACTATATAAATCTTTATTTGTAAACTTTAATACATCAAATATTTTCAATGTAATAAATCATTTAATGATGTAAATAAGAGGAAAATTCTCACATGGGTGGTCAAATTCTATAGTTTGCATTATATCAAACAGCCTCTGAGAAATGTTTTCAACTCAAAATGCCTTTAATTATGTTTGACTACATCAATTAAAAGGGTCTTCAAATACATCAATGTGATATTTGTCTAAAATTTGCAAAAGAATCCGAATCTCTGGAGAACTCGAAATTATTTACCCATTTAAAAGCCTTTGATCATGAAAGTGGAAAAATTTGTTCATTTTATTTACTGGAAATGGAAAAATTATTTATATTAAATTTTGATGAGTTTTGCACTGAAGAAAACATTAAGAGGCTGTTTGATATAATAAAACTATAGAATTTGACCACCCATGTGAGAAATTCTTATTTACATCATCAATTTATTTATTAGATTGAAAATATTTTATGCATTAAAGTTTACAAAAATAAAGATTTATATAGTCGAAAAAGTCCGATAGAACCAATAGAAAAGTAACTATTTTGTCACATCTTTAATTAAATTTTGTTAAATAAATTAATTTTTTTATACTATAAATATCTTTTTTCCTAATCTCCTACGAACTGATAAAATATGACGAGCAATCTATTAAATTACTGTGAGAATATATGCCTCGATAACATATTGGTGAACAGCATAAAGTTTTTTGAAAAAAATTATTAATCTGAGTATTATATTTATGATACACATTATTTTCATATAACACCGTACGCCCATGCCTATTTTATGAATGAAATTGGGCGTGTTTTGTTTACAACTGCGTTCCCCTGCCGATACCCCGTAGCTACAGATCCGTTGGTCACACTATAATGCCGCAGCCGCATAATACTGGGCCCGAATTCTGGAAGTTTGACATAAAAACGTTACGCTTTCAAAGCGGTAAGCGAAAGTATTCGATTAGCGGAAAGCCAAGCAGTCAATTTTGGTATTCTTTTTGTCGTGCGAATCGTTTTCTGGATACGCGTTGAGCACATATTGGCAGCATCGCAATTTCTCAGATATCTGATAATTTACTAATACCATTCTAATAGTCAAATGTGGATAAGACGATGAAAAATATCAATGTTACGTGAATTTCATAACCTATTGTTGAGTTATGTCAACCTATTTTTATATGGATGTCATTATTCTTATTATAAGAGGGAAATGTTGAAGACCCTTCTCAGCATTTTCGATGTTTTGAACAATATTTATATACTTACCCAGTTTATAATCATCTGCTGATGATGCTAACATGGTTAGCGAAACGCGCGCCCAGTGTATAAGTAAGTGTTTTGGTGTATTGTGGTGATTTAGTGTTTTTATATAGCTGCCAAGTCGTAAATTATCATTTACTTATTGAGGAATTGGTAGAAGAAGAAATAGTTTTCACTAGCGAGCAAGAGAACGCACGAAATCACAATTTTTTCTATTTTTACTGACAGTTCGACAAACAAAACGATCCTTTAGGTAGCCGTTTTCAAATCGCTCAGCTCAATGGCTAAAAACGCTAAGCGCATCAGATGAGAATACTCAAATCGGTAGTTAAGTGCGCGCTAAGCGAAAATTAACGTCATATACGCTGAGCGTCTAAAAGCGCTTAGCGTATTCTAAGTTACAGAATTCGGGCCCTGGTCTTAAAATACAATATTTTATACAATGACACATATTACACTGTCAAATTCTTTGACAAAATAAAATCTTTGACAAAGAAATTGGTTAGTGTAATAGTAGTCTTAGATACAGAACCATACCTTCCTTGGTTGCCAAACTTTGCAAGACTTCCTCGTTGACAGGTACAAAGTTTCCGCGAGCATCTTTATACATGATTTCTACGTTAGATGGTACGTCCGTGCCCAAAATCATCTTCAATTTTTCATTAGCGAACGATGATTTTTTGTCGCCCTGAATCAGACTAGAATAGGTAGCTGGAAATAATTTGATTGAAATATAGTGATAGTAACAAAGGTAACAATCCTTGCAACACATATACAGAGTGTAAATTAAACAAATGGAAAAAATTATAAGATATATTTTCTTTAAAAAAAAAACATATTAACAAACGATCAAAAGAAAATATACAGGGTGGTATGAACTGTATTCCGGAAACTTGGGCAGCATATTCTGCAGATAAAAATAAGTAAAAAAGTTCATGTAAATGTGTGTCTTAAAATGTTTAGTTTCGGAGATACAGGGTGTAGAATTTTCATTTTTATTTCAATTTTTTTCAAATAATTTCTGATTTAACATCAATATTTGGATGAAAATTGGTGTCTGGGAGTTTTTTCACATGAGAAATTTGATTTTGATGTCAATATGACTCCTATTGGTAGGGCGCTTCACCTACATGGTTTTTAACTGTTTTGAAGAGTAATAACTTTTCGTCCGTACCTGTATAAAACTACTAAGTGAAAAAATATACATTTTCGTGATTTTCTACTTAAAAAATGTCTCTCGCTACGAGCAACCATTCTCAAGATATTTAGAATGGAAATAGTCAATAGATGTCATTATTGACAAAAATAATGTTGAGTAGATAGTTATTTGACTCAAATGATAAAATTGGAAACTTTTTTTTTAATTAATTATAATTTTTTCTTCGAAAAAGTGATGATGAAACGATTTCTGTTGAACTTTTGGCACAAAAACATTTCAAATTTATAATTTTAGTCTAATAACTATTTATTCAACATGCTTAATTTATGTCAATGATGACAGGTATTGATAATTTCGATTCAAAATATCTCGAGAACCATTACTCGTAGCGATTTTTACCAAGATACCTTTTTTACGTAAAAATGTCTTAAATGTATATTTTTTACTCAGTAGTTTTATACAGGTACGGACAAAAAATTATTACTCTTCAAAAAAAATATGTAGGTGCTGCCCTCTACAAGTAGGAATCATATTGACATCAAAACCAAATTTCTCATGTCAAAAAACTCCCAAACACCAATTTTCATCCAACTATTGACGTTAATTCAGAAATTATTTGGAAAAAATCGAAACACAAATGAAACTTCTAAACCCTGTATCTCTGAAATTAAGCATTTTAGAACATACATTTATACGAACTTTTTTGTTTATTTTTATCTGCAGAATATGCTGCCGAAGTTTTCGGAATACAGTTACCACTCTGTATAAAAAACAGGTTTTACTTTTTTAATTTTTTCGCATTTATTCATTTAAACCCTGTATGCAGTATCCGCAAAAAAGTCTGCAATATAGACAGGCGGCCACTGCGAGCGTAACTAAACTAAGCTAAGAATATAAAAACAAACGGTAACTAAACGAAAATAAGTTTCATCGACCACTGGGAACGATTTTCGCTCAGTAGTCAGCTAAGTTAGCTGCGTTTTCGTATTGTGTCACTGCTATAATCGCTGCGAAAAATTCGCTGGAACCTGTCACGAACTAAAACGAGCGAAACTAAACTACGATTTGTATCTTCGTTCATATATTTTCGTTTAGTTTCGCTCAAGTGGCCGCTGATGCGTTTAAAAGTATGGGAGCTGATTATTACAAATCATATCTTCGCTTGGCTTAGTTTAGTTTCGCTCGCAGTGGCCGCCCGCCTTAATTGTGATATTTTTATTATTAGAGACATTTTGCGTTACAGTGAACCTACCAAGATTGGACAAATTATTTTGAGGCAAAGTCCCAGGAATAAACATGGACTTCTCCATAGAACTTCTATTGTGCATGTTGTTACTGTAGTTCATCACGTCACCATAGGTTTGTTCATGGTGTGGTATAAAGTTCTCGACAGTTGTTTCAGCGTATGTTTCTTCTATGATAAAATTATTTGCCTGCAGAAGAAATATAGAAACATTGATTAAAATTTAAACATCCAAAAACATGTATTTTTTTGTGAAGAATATCCAAAAATTAAACAGAGTCAACAGGGAGTCTTTTTGTGTGTGCCATATACAGGGTGGCGCACCTCATTCGCCTCGGTTGATTATACGAAAACGGAAAGATATAGAAACAAAATATTTTATGGGTATATGTGGGGAGGCAATGTGCACAATTTAAAATTATTTTGAAATATACAGGGTGTTTCAGAACTAAGATCCATACCAAAGTTATATTTTTTCTTATGGAACACCACACGGTATATTATTTCATTTTTGGATTAGTGGGCCCAAAAAAAAAATTTATTATAAGGGTTAAATATGTTGAAAATCTTTGGTTTTTCAGATATTTAAAGATATTTAAATTTGCATGTTACTATAGAATAGATTATTAACACCCTGTACATTACTTTTCAGAATTAATTCTTGTGCTGAGTTTAAAGATAAAGAAATAAACTTTACTGGAAAATCTTATTACTTCCTTAAATTTATACAGGGGTATCAAAAATTGCTGATTTAATTTAAGGATTTATTTTACATAAAAACTTCGTTATTTCAAATACAACACCCTGTATTTTTTATAACAAATCGAAGCAGATTCAAATGCTCTTTCAAACTATATTAGGGTTTCCAATACCTATCTAGCTCAAATTTTGAATAAAGAGCAATTTTTCAGTAAAATGGCAACCAAGAGGGCTAGTGACGTCATGGCAGTTTTTTTATTGCCAGTTAGTAGCTATTTTCAAAATCGAAATTAGTTTCTGGACTTATTTAAATTTATACCAGTTTAATTTTATTTAATTTACCTACAATAGTTTAATAAATAATATTTATTAAATATGTATTTATTATTCTATCAAGAAAAACGAAGAAGTAGTTCTTTGATTTATTCTACGATGACTTGTAGATATATGGATTTTCTATAAAAGAGACAATTACAACAAATTAATTTTCTTCACTTCGAACGACAGGTTTCTGCCTCTAACAGGTTTTTTATAAACCACATTTTCAGCTCTGCGAAATAGGGCAAGTAGTTTGTCAAAGGAACGCTTACCAGGATGATTCCTATTTTTGGATACCTTTGAGCATAAGCTCTTGAGGTCAAGAAGCAATTTTCCTCAGAAAATAAAATCACTTGAAACATATCCATTCGTTCCACCAGCAGATACTGCTTTATTTTTCTTCATAAAATAATGAATACTTATTCATTAAACTATTGTAGGTAAATCTAAGTAGATTCTTATAAATTATAAATAATAATGTCCATAAACTAATGTCGACTTTGAAAATAGTTACTAACTGTCACTAGAAAATTGCCATAGCGACAGCAGCCATCTTGATTGCAATTTTATTTAAAAATCGCTTTTATTCAAAATCTGAGCTAGATAGGTATAGGAAACCCTAATATAGTTTAAAAGAGCATTTGAATCTACTTTAATTCAAAAACACAGGGTATTGTATTTGAAATAACGAAGATTTTATATAAAATATATCCGTAAAATAGATCAGCAACTTTTGATAGCCCTGTATAAATTTAACGAACCAATACCATTTTTCAGTAAAGTTTATTTCTCTAACTTTAAAGTCAGCATAAGAATTAATTCTGAAAAGTAATGTACAAGGTGTTAATAGTCTATTCTATTGCATGCAAATTGAAATATCTTTAAATATTTCAAAAACTAAAGATTTTAAACATATTTAACACTTATAATAAATGCCTTTTTTGGGCCCAAGAATCCAAAAATGAAATAAAATACCGGGTGTTCCATAAGAAAAAATATAACTTTGGTTCTGAAACACCCTGTACATTTCAAAATAATTTTAAATTGTGCACATTGCCTCCCCACATACCAATAAAATATTTTGTTTCTACATCTTTTCGTTTTCGTATAATCAACCGAGGCGAATGAGGTGCGCTACCCTGTATATTAGGGATGGTATATTTCCCAAGAACACTTTTTTTTGAAAATTTTGTATTTCTCGAAAGTTTTTCTGGAAATGTAATTCTCAGATTAAAAATATAGTACCCTGATAATATGGTAACAGAGGTAGTAGACAGTCCAAGTAAAATATCTCGACTGTTTTTGGAAAAACGGTAAAGAGAAAATATGTTTCTTTCATCGTGATCTCCCAGCCCTGAAAGAGATCCCAGTGGTAAGAGTGAATTTTAAACTTGTTTTTGCTTTTTCCCTGTGCGTCCAACCTAAGTACCTAATATTGACTATTTCTTTCATTTTTCCCTTTACGAGTATTTCTATATTCTATATAATTAGAATATTGCTTTATGGAAATAACACTATACTCTGTTTTTTTTTTCTTTTTTTCATAGCAATATATTTATTTTAATAAAAAAAGTTTCTAATATTTTTTAAGTTAACTATGGATGGATTTAAATATAAAGCCGTCATGCGTCGTCTCTTGTTGTTTTTAACCAGTTTTATTGGTTTATTTTAAAAATGGCAGATCATATTTCAATTTTATTGGTTTGACGGAAAGATGAACGACAAACGGACGCGGATGCGTATGAACTCGCCATTAGATTTTTTGAGGCTTGTCAAATTATAGGTTATAATTTTGTGTCAACTTATGTCAAATACCCTGCGTTTTGGAAAATTATGCATTTTGATTCGTGTTATTACGTGTGTTTTGTGTTTTGAAGTCAAGTGGAGGAAAAATTAACTGTAGACCCAGAGCACCAGAGCACAGTATCTATATAGTTAATCAGCGGCGTGCGGTGACAATTATAAACGGGGAAGCGAAGCGGTAAAAAACCTTATTTCGAGACATTACTTTTACATTTTTTGAAAAAACTTACCTTTAAAAATTCCGAGGCCAATTTCATTGTTCGATTAAAATTATATCGAAAATTGTTAAACAAACAAAAACACATAAAGTTATAATAGTTAAAATAAAATTAATTTTCTTAAAAAGGTCCGATTAAATTTATATCTCCGAAACTAAAGTTCCAAGAAAAGTCGTAATATATCTACAAATTCATTTACCCAATTAGTATATTTTTGGTAAACTTCTGTCTCAAATAGTTTCTGAAAATAAAATTAATTTTCTTAAAAAGGTCCGATTAAATTAATATCTCCGAAACTAAGATTCCAAAAAAATTTGTAATATATCTAGAAATTCATTTACCCACTAGTAGATATAAAAAGCATTTTTGGTAAACTCTGTCTCAAATAGTTTCTGAAAAATAAAATTAATTTTCTTAAAAAGGTCCGATTAAATTTATATCTCCGAAACTAAAGTTCCAAGAAAAGTCGTAATATATCTACAAATTCCAGGCGCACATCCATCAGTAAAAGGCTAATTAAATTTACTACGTTTATGTAAGGTTTCAAATAAATAATTTTAACAAATTAAATTAATCTTTTGTTATAAAATAACAGTATTATAACGTTTAACTATTTATTTTTTTATCTTTAAAAAGTTTAGGGAAGCGGTGCTTCCCCCGCTTCCATGGACCGCACGCCGCTGTAGTTAATATTCGATGTCCAGGCAGAAAGTCTTATACATCAATAAAGTTACCATCAATAAAGTTTGTATACCATCTCGTCGTAGATAAGTGCATCTCGTATATAGTACAAGGATCGTACTAAACATATACTAAAAACTGGAGCAGCTGTAAAATATCGACACGATAGGTAAATAATGAATTTTAGTACTGCAGAAAAATAATGTCAAAAGGTACTGGTTTAAAAAAATTAAGATTAAAGTTAATTAATCAACCTTTAAGGTATAAAATTTGCTAAGTGTTATTATTAATAAAATAGTTTGTTTTATTTATGTTGTTTTATTTATTCCTGTGGAATATTAGAAATTTGTATTTGTACATAAGTTATATTGATAAATATAATAATAAATGCGGGAAGTTTCTTGAAGCTTGAAAGTAGGAGATAGTTCTTTTTTATAGTTTTTTGGTATGTGGTGTTTTGTTCTTGTTTGTTTTGTATTAACACATACTATTTTTTTTATAAAATAACTCGATTGCATTTTTTTCAGTTTTATACAATTTTTTTCACAATATTTTGAAGTAATCACTTGTTAGTCAAATTTTAAATATATTAATTTTCTGCTATGCGTTCCATTTGTACCAACTTATTTCTTTGTAAAATAAAATAAACTACTTTGAAATTAAAATGACAGACACATCTATCACTGTCAAGGATCTTGTCGTTGGACAGACTATAACGATTCATTGATTTAGATAGACCTTTAGTTTTGAACTTACCTGTGGTGCCACTGCTATCTCCTTTTGCAAACTAGCCAAGGCCAATCTAGAAGCCTGAGCTTCCTTAACGCATGCCTGCTCAGCCTTTAAAAAAATGAGAAAAATAAAAGAAACATAATTTTATTTCAAACACTTCAATTAAGTTCAAATCTTTTTAGTATCAATTTTATTAAGTTCTGGGCTAATTTACTATAGTTTATAAACCTTCTGGTTGAATTTTACTTAATTTAAAAGTCGTTCTTGGTGTAATTACTAAAAGGTGTAAAATTTATGGTTCTACATGTAATATACGGTGTTTAACTTAATTTGTGTAATGGAAAGTCAATGGCATTTCCGTGTATGTACGAGACAGGTAAAACATGCAAGACAGATTGTTTTGTAGTGCCTTGTGACCATAGACAAACTAACAAAAGCAAGACGCGTCAACGCTGTACTGCAAAACGGTAACAAGTTTGATAAGAGTTTATTACCGCGCTTGCGTCAACTGGCCTTTTAGACGAGGACGGTTTACTTATGGATTGTGTATTTTGTAGTAGCCTTTTAGACAAGGATGTTTAATTAAAAAGCGTTAATTAAACTCAAATAAATTTATTTCCATCTCGGTAAAATAAACAATAATTTCTGGATATAACAGATATAAAAACAAAAGTTAAATAAACGAAAACGTATTCCTCTTATTAAAATAACAAAAAAGATGATAAAAAAACAACAGTTATGGTAAACGAAATAAAAGCATTCTTCAAAAGGTACAAAAAAATAATTATGTATGTTATAATATTAATAATAGGAACAACAAGAAACATCTTAAAAATATACAACTTTTTCAAATATAAAACAAAAACATAAACTTCACATTTTCACAAGAATTTGCAAAAATATTAACATTTCGAGTCTATTATAAAATATAAAGCACGAAAATTCAAATCATAAAAAGATTAAAAAGATAGAGATTCTTATAACTTACAGTCAATTTGTAGGACCTTCGTTTTGTCTACGTTAGCGATGTAATCACAATAATATGTATAATCACAGTAATTATTATGTTCTTCATAAATGTAAAATGTATTAAATTATTTGTTTTCGTTTTGTACGCTAATAAAATAATAGTAATAACCAAACAAAATGCAAAATCAGGAATTCAACAGTTCGTTCAAGGCAAAAACGTTTTTCGTTTTATTTAGGTTAGGTTTGACGAGTGCGACTGCGCGATGATTTCTGACTCAACTGGCCAGCGCAAAAACAATAATTCGACTTTCTCAATCCTTTGAAAAGTCTTGCTTTTGTTAGTTTGTCTATGCTTGTGACATTGAGACTAAATTCAAAATTACGATACGCGACGGTTGATAGAAATATAAGTGAAATAAGTAAATCTAGATACGTTTTAGTCTTTGAATAAGAAGACTAAGGAAGGAGCATAATCTGCATAATGCTATCCATGTATTCATGCATGGTGGGCGGAAAAAGCACTCTAGGGTGGGGATCCTTGACAGTTCTGTTTGACGATTCATTTGACACATTTGAATTTGATTTGAAATTTTGTGGATTTGTCAGTCTTTACGGAGCTGATTTTATGTTATTTATTATTTATTCTACTACTGATAGTTGTATAAAGGTAGTAAATCTAGTTGGAAATTGTGGCAGAACTTAAATTAACAGTGACTCTATCGCGATTTATCGAAAAAGACTCTAAAATAGTTGGTTGTGTAGCGTGCGGGAGATCTCGGCAAAAATTGAGTGAAATAATGGAACAACTTTTCGCTAGTAAGTGACTATATAATATACATACGTGTAGTAAACCGATCATTTATGAAATTCACTTAAATTAACTAAATTATATATTTTTCTTGCATTTTAGCTTTTATTTATTACTTGTCAAAGATTAGATGTCAAAGAATTTAGATACGTTAATTTGACTTACCTGCTTCAGTAGCGTATCGGATGTTTGTGTTAATAAATACTTATTATAACTTATCTATTTTTATTAGAATTATATATTTTTATAACAATTTTAATAACTACCAACATTAATTCGCAACGTAAAATAAAACAACAAATTATTGAGTCTACCCCACGTCTACCCTACATCCTAGTTTTACATTTTTTAAATAAAATTAGAACGACATTGATACACCGGAATTTAAGTCGGCCATATTTGAGGCCCATCGCGGTGTACCTAAGATTTTTGATATGCTCCTTCCTTAGTCTTCTTATTCAAAGGTTTTAATAGTATTTTAGTTTAACGGCCTGAGCTGCCAGGGCTATTCGGCCATGTAATAGGATATCCAATCCTATACTAATATTTTTTCATTCACGGATTCCTCTTTTTTAATATTGCTATGTTTTACAGAATTATCGAATGTAATACTACAAGATGTTTCGGGATTACCGAATAATACTTTTACCTGACACGAAATGCGTTACCCGGCAACACTACCACTCCGAAGGAGGAGTAGTGTTGCCGGTATCGCGTTGAGTGTCAGGCAAAAGTATTAGGTAATCCCGAAACATCGAGTTGTATTCAAAAGATTATACAACGAAATAAAGTACATATATCCTTCTTATCTTAAACATTTTTATTATAATAATTATTAGGAATTGACGGGATATTTTGTGGAACTGACAGAAATGACTTCTGAATTAATATTTCAAAAAATTACAATTACAATATGGCCACCTAGCGATAATCACTTAAATGATTATCACTTATTAATCACATCCTTCTATACCGGGTGCGTTTCAAAAGTGGCTCACCCCTATAACTTTTTTATTTTTTCAGATAAAACAACGAGATTTGGTATGTTAGTATATGACATAAATTAGGATTGATTGACATATTCAATTGTTTTCGGTCACTTCCTGTTTCACCGGAAATGACTACAACTTTTGATCTTTAAATGGCACTCGTGGTATTTTTTTACTTTGTTCGATAGAAAATGACAGTCTGAATAGAATGACATATCATAGTCAACTTTTGACATTTTCGTATATGGTTTATTTGAAATTGTAACCTGCGGTTCATAACGACGATTTGACTAAAAATACCAAGTGTGTGGTATCAAATTATTCGTAAAAAAATGCTTTTTCCAAATATGGTAATGAGCCACCCTCGTTCCATTTGAAAAAATTGAGATATGATTAAAACTACGATTTAGACATCTTTTAACCGGTCAGGACAAGACACTAGAAACATTCGACGATTAAGTCTATTTTTCCAAGGCTCCTTGATTGAAAAATTAGTGTTTTTAATACAGCTATGGCACTCTAGATTGAAATTTAAAATACAATTTGTTTTTGAGCAAATGTGTCAAAAGTTGACATATGATATATCATTCGATTCAGAGTGTCATTTTCTATCGAATAAACGAAAAAAATACCGAGGGTGCCATTTAAAAATCAAAAGTTGTAGTCATTTCCGGTGAAACAGGAAAACAATTGAATACGTCAATCAATCCTAATTTAGGTCATATACTAACATACCAAATCTCGTTTATTTGTCTGAAAAAATAAAAAAGTTATAAGGATGAGCCACTTTTGAGACGCATCCGGTATAGGAAAATATACATAGAGTTGTATAATCATTTTAACAGAAATTTATAATATGTAATATGGTATAGCAAAAAAATATAACGAAGAAGTTTTGATTTAAGTCTGACTAGTCTGACTAAGTCTGAGTCTAGGCTTACTGATTTCTCTGAGATAAAACAGTCAGTCGGTCAGATAAAATATTCAGTGCAGCGAGAGAATACAAGAGTTCCATAAATGACACCTAGGAAATATTATACCGGGTGCATCTCAAAAGTGGTGCGGGTATACCGGGTGCATCTCACCCCTAAAACTTTTTTATTTTTCCAAATAAAAAATGAGATTTGGTATTTTAGTATATGACATAAATTAGGATTGATTGACGCATTCAATTCTTTTCGGTCACTCCTGTTTCACCGGAAATGACTACAACTTTTGATATTTCTATGAATGGTACCCTCCGTATTTTTTTACTTTTATTCGATAGAAAATAACACTCAAAAATAATAAAAATAAACTATTTTGGATGACTAAAACTCATGTTGATATCACTAATACCTGCTGTTTTAAGGTTCTTTTGCCTCGGAATTGTTTAAATCCCGCCGTCACTGGATCGGGCAGCGTGACGTCAAAATTGATAGGTTTGAACGCTGCGTTGCCATTTTGAACAGTACTCACAACGGCCGCGGTTGCGTCCTCGGGATCGATGACGGCAATGTCGCTGGTGTTCTGTTCCGAAGTGAGAACTTTGACAGATGCTAGGCAACCGTTCTGGGGAACCGTAGTAGTGGGGAGTTGATAGGTGAAGGCGGGGTATTTCGGTTTTTTGGTTAGGAATTGAGGTTTGGGTAGGAATACTTCTTCAGCTACGAAAAAAAAATTGAATAAATAACTTATCAGTAACGCTGGTTTAAAAATTATAGAAAATAGCCGAATTATGAAATACAATATATATTTAGGGTGATTGTAGGGGAGGGAGAAGTTAATCACCGCGACATTATACAGGGTGGTCCGAATTGTATTCAGGAAAGTTCGGCATCATATTCTGCAGATAAAAATTAGTAAAAAATTCGTATAATTTTATGTTCTATAATGCTTCGTTTCAAGTTTTTCAAAATAATTTTTTTAGCAATGTCGATATTTGGATCAAAATTGGTGTTTGGGTGTTTTTTGGCATGAAAAATTTGATCTCGATGTCAATATGACTCCTACCTGTAGGGGGCGCAATATATTTTCTAACTGGTTTAAAAAGTAATAAAAAAACTTTTCAAACTGTAAGTGTCCAACGAGTAGGGAAGATTTTGACAAATGACAACTAAAATATGACAGAGAATACAATTTACCTGTAAATTAAAATGTCAGACAGAACTGTCATTGATCCTATTGCTGGACAGACTATAGATATAAAATAATTTAATGTTGAACAACTTTTCTCTGGCAATTTTCCATATTTTGTTACTAAAACACTATAATGTTGAGTTTGAGAAATTATTTTTGTAGAAAGTTCCCCGGGAATGAATGAGCCAATGTCGAAAGTTTATAATTAGTGCAAAGAAAATAGGTTGGAAAAGAAATTAAGTAATTAGTTACATTTTTAAAATATATCCTGAATTTTCTCATTTTTTCTTATTATTCTCAAGAAAAATTAGAATTTTAAGAACATTTAGAACAAAAAGCAAAAAATATTGAGAACAATTAGGTATTTAGATCATGTTATCCTTCTTTCTGGGTACATTTTGTTACAGAGTGACAATGTACTGTTACTTGACAAAATGGCGAATAAAATATTATATTTTTCTAAATCTGACAACACTGTGTGATTGGCGAATAATCCTGAATTTAATTTTTTAAGTAAGAGTTTGTACATAAAATATATGTTTAAATAATAAATATATTTACCACAACTTGCGTGCTCCTTGAACAAGTTTTCTAAATTTTTCATTTCAAGCATTTTTACCATCGCAACAAGAAACTTGATGTTTTCTTCCATTATTACAGTTTGCCCACAGTACATCATTTCAACAACACTTTTCAGAACAGAAAAATCACATCCTCTTATTAAAATCTGTTCTATTGAAGGGTTTTTCTCAAATTCTTCCTATAATATTTATAAACAAAAGTAAAAAACATCAAGGACTTAATAAATATACAATGCAAATAACGAGTAACAGAAATTATAGACATTCTCGCCTTACTAAAAGAATATGGTTTCCAGTTACTAGGATCTAAATTTTTATGCTGTTGAAACTTCTAAATAAAATATAAAACTTACTCTGAATAAGGGACTGTTAGCTGCCAAAATAAACTTATGAGTCTGAATAGTATTATTTCCACAACAAATAACCACATCCACTAAACTCTGGTGCTCCATCAGACCACAAACATTCTTAACAAAGTTTTGTGGGTGAGTTTCCCAATGGACGGCGTATTTTACCGGTTTAATTCCGTTTTTGTTCATTGTATTGCACTAAATAGATAATAAATGATATTAAATCGGTACTGAATTAAATAAGAGATATTCAGAAACTTTCTAGCGTCTTCAAATGCTGAGAAAATCGTTAAAATCGTTTTTAAATGGACTTCGACTTGTGACTGTCAAAAAGTTTTCTTCTTATTTTGTAATGTTGGCGTTTATCAACAGAAGAGAGCCCGGTTTACAATGGAACAATAAAAATATTTAAAATATAAGATTTGTAATTAATTAGTTTATTGTTTTAATTAGTATTATTTGTATATTTCTTTGAGTTTATTTATATAAAATTTGGGTATATAATAATAAGTTAATAAGGCAATGGCTTGTTTTAAATGGCTTACCTTGAGACGTCTATTTGCTGCACTTACTCATAGATACCAGACATACGCTCCTCGTGGATGTTGTCAGATTGTAGTCCTGTTTAAATTTTAATCAAAGATACAAGCTCATAGAAATGTTTCTAAGCTTTATATTTTGTTTAAATTATAAATATTGCTCTTTTTAAATCCACAGGTTTCCTACAGGTTTCACATAAATTATTTTTGGTAATGGATTATGGACAAAATTATGGATTGTGATCAGTCAATTCAGAATTGTCATTTGATTTTTTACGTCTGTGTTGCCATTCTTGCCAAAATATTAGCAAAATACTGAAACTAGTCTGGATAAATATTTTTTTAAGTACCTATAAAACGAATTGGACCGTTACAAAATTATGATAAATCTCATGAACACATAATATAAACATTATTTCAGCAGAATAAGATAATATCCTTGTTTATATATTCTTCATATACATATATATATTTATCTAGACACAGCATTTTATGTACAAAAAAAATATATATATTAGGTTATTTTATTTTACATCTGCTCAATCTGACAACGTTGACAGTGCGACACTTTCTGTTGTCAGTAGCATGTCAGCAGTACGTCGTTATGTCGCTATTGCAATTTTCTGATTTTTTGATAGAAAAAGTAATTTTTCTGTACATTATTTGAGTGTATTCTGTTTTTTAAGTCTTGTTTAACTTATTGAAAATGTAAGTACCCATTATTTTGCATGTTTTGTTAGTTTTTTTCACTTTAAAGTATTTCAATTACATCATCGTAAAAAATGTGATATATTTTTCCTATTTTTATATGAGATGATAGATAGTATGTGACCTAAATACAAAATATTTTCTCATGGTGTCTGTCTGTCTGTCCGTCTGTCTGTAACACGATAACTCAAAAACCGCTAAACCGATTTTAACCAGATTTGGCATAAAAATACTGTGGCACCCGAATCTGGCTATTAGTTTTTAGTGGAGGTGGGGGTTGGTAAGGGGGTATGGGACCCCCTTACCCCTTATGGGACCCCCCCTCCCTTAAAAATTTAAAAAAATCGTAACTTCAAAATTACAGTAGATAGCGAAATGCGGTTTTCAATTTAAGTTTAGGAATAATATTTGCAACAAAATTAGTAATAACATCAAAATCAGTCAAAGTTGCAGTTTATGAGATAATTGAAACTAAAAGAACTGCCTACCAACTTTTTATTAACATATTTTAGTATGGGCGGCTATACGTGCCTCCCGGCGCCAATTTTTTTTTCGTAGAGTTTAGATGTTTTTTATCCCTAAAGAAATTTTTAGGTGTTTATTTGTATCGACCCTAGATCATATATACTTACGAATACAAGTATCCTCTAACAAATATCTAATACAATTCTATACAAGTTGTAAAAATAACGAATTATGTATTAGAAAAGTGTCAGAAGAATGACAAAAAAATGTATACAAATATACAGGGTGTCCCAGAAATAAGTGCAAGTATTTTAAGGGGTGGTAGATCTCGATAAAATAAACATAATTTTCTCTTTGTCGTTTTTCAAATAAGTCCAAATTAACGGAGTTATTTTACTTTGACAATTTCCAAAAAAAAATGATTTTTTGCTAAAATTTTGAGAACCACTGGATCTTTCCTGGATTTTCTTTCTTGTAAATTTAATCTACTACCAATGTTGCCATATTATCAAGAAATATTTTTTTTATAACCAAAAACTAAAAAAAAAATCCAAAATTTTTTTCAAAAAATTCTGATTTTTCAAATTTTTTTTTTGCGAAAAGAAACTCATAGGCGTTTTTTCTGGGGTTGAACTATACTACCAGTTAAAATATTTGTGCTTATATTTCTCTCCATACATACAGGGTGAGTCTTAAATATACGCTATTAAACAGGATACTGGATATTAGGATATTATACAGTATTTAAATTTGAAACGGATTAAATTTAAAATCACATTTTTAACGATAAATACCACATAGTTATACGGTTAAATATTATAAATACTTATCTAATAATGGTGTAATTTAATAATAAATATAGTAATAATAAAACCAGAGCTCCTTGCAATCGAAACTGAATAAAAGTATATGTGAGATTAGTTGTATATGCTGTAGTATTTAGTATTTAGTATGCGTGCATTCACTAATGCATTTTGTCAGACTAGTTATGCAAGGAATTGTTCAAATAAAAAGAATTTGCATTTTGCGGTTTGAACTAATATAATATGCATTTCGTATTTTCTTTGCTGCATACCGGGTTGTTACTGTAATTTGAACGTGGAAGTGTATTATATGGTGACATTTCACTTTGAAGGTTTATTATTTAGATTATATATTAAAAATCAGATCAGTGTCCTTTGAAATGACCAGCGTTGCTTTATTAAAAATTAAAACATAAAAACTTCTATTTAAATGAAAAAGAAAAGTTTCCAGGATAGCACACATGAATTGATTCAGTGGAAAATATTTTTTGAAATAAAGTTTGACCTATTTTTTAAATCTTTTTAAATCATCATACATCTACACGATTTAATTACGATTCGTGATACTTGATTTGTTTTATTAAAGAGTCGTTGTAGTGCAAGCACTTGCATTTTTGGTAAAAAGTAGAATTGAGTTGGTGTTCGACAGTGGTCGCGCTATTAGAACTCTGAATTCAAAAATCGGTTTCTCGAAACCCATTAGAAATAATTGATTGTAGTTTTTTTCAAAAACTTTCTTAATATTTCTGCTATATGTATTTTCTTCGCAAACAGTATGTCAAAATCCTTATAAATAAAAAAGTTACACGATTGCTGAAAATTGCAATGCACTAAACGTAAATGGATGTTTTTTTTTAAATTTTGAATGGAAAAAAATGCCTATCGAATTTTTCTTATTTAATCATCTTGTAAAAAATCCGATCTTCAAAATAAAAACAAATGTTTCAATATCCAAAAGTAGTTGTTGGGTTATCGCGTGTTATGTGTTAAAAAGTCGAGTTTTTATATTATCGCGATTACTGACATTTTCTCGTTATAAAAAAAATGGACACCCTAATGATATCCTTAGAATTCCATCTCAGATGCTCAGAAACATATCTAATGATTTTATCTAGTTGTCTTTTTTGAAAAAAAAGTCGTTTAAAAATCAGCGGTTTGCGATCGTGATTTTACTTGTGATCGTTGATTTTATTGGGAAAGGCGTACCGGCAACGCCGCAACAGCACACGGTCGCATTTCTCTCACTCCGACTTAATAAGATCCCTATGCCACAAATTACCTATAATAGATGCGAAAGAAAGCGACTGCATCGGGAACCGCTCGGCAAACCCCACACGCCTATTGAGTGGTGTAAATACACCAGTCGTTTAGTCCGGAAATCTATGCTGTGTCGTATTCGCTTGCTGGAATGACATAGTGCGTGGTTATATATGTTTCTTTTTAAAAACGGGTGTAGGATTTTTGTTGAACTTTTGAACTGTTATTTCTAAGTTTTGGTAATTTGTATATCTTATTTAAAATGGGATACAAATGTGTTATAAGGAAAAAAAAGATATCTATAGTATAAAAAATTAATTTATTTAACAAAATTTAATTAAAAATGTGACAAAATAGTACCTTTCTATTGGTTCTATCGGACTTTTTTCGACTATATAAATCTATATTTGTAAACTTTAATACATCAAATATTTTCAATCTAATAAATCATTTAATGATGTGAATAAGAGGAAATTTCTCACATGGGTGGTCAAATTCTATAGTTTTCATTATATCAAACAGCCTCTGCGAAATGTTTTCAACTCAAAATTATGTTTGACTACATCAATTAAAAGGGTCTTCAAATACATCAATGTGATATTTGTCTAAAATTTGCAAAAGAATCCAAATCTCTGGATAACTCGAAATTATTTACCCATTTAAAAGCCTTTGATCATGAAAGTGGAAAAATTTGTTCATTTTATTTACTGGAAATGGAAAAAATATTTATATTAAATTTTGATGAGTTTTGAAAACATTCAGAGGCTGTTTGATATAATGAAAACTATAGAATTTGACCACCCATGTGAGAAATTTCCTCTTATTTACATCATTAAATTATTTATTAAATTGAAAATATTTTATGCATTAAAGTTTACAAAAAATAAAGGTTTATATAGTCGAAAAAAGTCCGATAGAACCAATAGAAAAGTAACTATTTTGTCACATCTTTAATTAAATTTTGTTAAATAAATTAATTTTTTATATTATAAATATCTTTTTTTTCCTAATCTCCTACGAACTGATATAATATGACGAGCAATCTATTAAATTACTGTGAGATTATATGCCTCGATAACATATTGGTGCAGATTATTTTCACCCAAACAAATAATAACCCAAACTATACATTGATGCGGATTGTCTATGAACTCTTTCTGAAGGTCCAGAAACCTGAACGCGTAAAGCCGGAGTCTCATGCATCCGAAACCGATGGTACGACATCCGAAATTTGAAGTTATCGTGTGAAATAAAAAAAGCCTGTCACATACATCCGAAAGTTCGTTCCGAAATTTGACAGTTTTAACATTTTTCTGCTGCGCTGAATAGAGATTCACTTGAGATTCATGTCATTTTTATTGGAGAAACACTTATAAAAATAACTTCCTCGCCAAATATCCCGAAATTGCCCACTTCCCACTAAACTTGTTTTTAAAAACAAATGTTTTCAAAAAAAGTGAGGTTAAAAAACACACGATATCGTACAAAAGTTAAACAAAATTTAACTTTATACGACGTCGGATGATTAGTTAAAATTATCGGATAAAAATTGTTGTCAAAATATTTCGACCAATAGGAGCACCGTCGGATCGTCGTGTCATCGGATTTCGGATGCATGAGACTCCGGCTTAATTCGGTGTTCTTTCGCATCTGTTGTAGTTAATTTGTGCCTATGCGATTTACTTCCACACATGTAAGTACCGACCCAAAAGTAACAGTTGCCAGCACGGTATAGAGATTAAGTCATAGAGGTAATAATCATATATGAATCTTTGTTGTATGATTGTTCATAAATAGATAAAAACTTGCAGATAAAGAGGACAGATTAATTAAAAGGCTGTATTTAAACTGCCGTTAAACGGTAGCTTACTAAAATACCGTTAATAGGTATGACGTCGTTGATGTGACGCACTTGACGGCTTTATGAAATATAGGAATTTTATAAGGACTAGCCAACGCTATCCACCCCTCCAAATAACCAACTTAACCAAC